ATACTTTACAAATAGATGTGGACAGAAGCAAGCAGAAAGAAGAAGGGATATTAGAAAGAATGAGTCAAATGAGTAATATAATTTTAAAGCAATAGTAAAAATTCTGATACCACTCTGGTATCTGTTTGTTTCTCCCAATTCATTAGTTTCTTCCACTTTACCTCTTTAATTCTTTTACTCTTTCTCTTGAATTCTTTGCTCTCTTGTCCTAGCCATTGTAGCCACCCTCCAGCATGGACAAACAGGAAACACTTAGTGTTATCAGCTAACTTTTTGTGTGTCTTAATGAGTGTAAGGCTAAAAGACAGAGAGGGAACAAACACTTAAGTCCACACCCTGATCTCACTGTAAACACACAAAGAGAGGGAGAACCTGAGGAGAGGAAGGAGGCAGAGATTAAAGGATGTGGGCAGTCAAAGAAAAAGAAATGAAATCAAGAGAGGAAGTGAGATCCATTTCACTTCCTGGTGTAACACACAGAAGGACAGTGGTCTTAACGCGTGACCATGGCGAGACAGAAATGACATGCCGTCATGTAAATAAGATCAATAACATAAGGCTATTTAGTTTATTTAATAAAAGAACAAGGTATAGACCTGTTCTATAGGAAAGGTAACCTTAAATGACTTCTGTTGTGATCTGGCACTATATAGAAAATAAAAATTAATAAAAATTAACTTGATCTTCAAGGGTGGGCGGGGCGCCCCCCTAATTTAATGGTAGGGGAAACACTGAGTAGATTAAAAATATCTGAAGTTGCTGATTAGTTTGTCAATGGATATTAAAAGTAAATCAAAGGCATCACCTGACTAATTTCTTTGATTGTATTTTCAGGTTTTCACATCAGAATTGAATCCAGTTTATTACCCACCTGCCTCCACATGTTTTAACCAACACAAAAAATACCATTTTACCATAAGACGCACATATTTTGTTTCATACAAATGCTCAGTCACTGGTATAGTTCAATAGTTTGTAGGCACCACATACTGTATGCAGCTGTTTTACATGGAATGGAGCCAGGAATTTAAACTTAATTAAAACTTTTAAACCCTGACAAAGACATTTGTTGAATAATATTCTATTATCAAAAAAGGAAATTATTTTATTTATTTATTTATTTTTTGCCTTATGGGTGTGCTACTATTATCTACAGTACTGTTGGCTGTTTCTTTCTCTCAGTACAGGCAACATTTTTCTCTGTGCTCTTTCTATCCATATAGAAAACTCTTAGACACACTTTGTTCTGTGACTTTTTGTTGGAGCAGGGGCCCGTGCTGATTTTACACCATCTCTGCCATCACATGATTATTTTATCTGCCTCTCTGCGATGACACAAGTTGTGTATGCAGCTGAAACTGGAGCAGTACATTCCGCTCCACTTAAACCTGTTCATTACAATGTCGTCTAATGCTATCTATGTCATGCTGCTCTATCGTGATGGCTCTTTATTCTTTGTTCAGCTTCTAAAATCATATAGACCATTAGGCATGATCATGCTATACAGTACATGAGTCTTTCCCCTGTAATTTATTCTATTAATGTTTCTCCTATATACAGTTGTTGTCAATGAGCCCGTGATAGTTATGTTATTAGACCTGTGGGCCCTCCTACCCTTTCGTTACCCTAAGTATTCTATATTTTCTTGATTCAAAGCAGCTGACAGTGAACAGCGTGAATGAATCTTTACTGAAGTGAGTACACAGAAAACTTTCTGGTGTTGCTGGTAGTGTTTTTAATGACCAAAAATTATACCCATATCTCTTGGCATTAGTTTTGAAATGCTGCACTAGCCCATACCTTTTTTCTTTTTTGTGTGTTCCCCTCCCCTTAAAACCGTGCTCTGACTTCATAATTTCCAGGTTACTGCTCACATTGTCCTCTGAGGTCAGACATGTTTGTGTGGTTGACCATGTTTCATGGCAACTCTACTCTTGGAAAGTACATTTAAAGGATAAACTTTGGTAGTAGTTTCACTGGATGATGCATTATAAAGCCTTTGTCTTCTTTCCGAGAGACATACTACAGTATACTACTGTCACTGGATTGAATGTGATTGTACCACTATTTTTGCCTTTTCAGTATCAATCTGTGTCACTTATAACATTCTCTACTGGCTGAGCAAATCTGAATATTATTTTATACTAGGAGTTAAATATTTGCTGCTTGAGTGAAACCCAAGAACTCAGCGGGCCAGTATCATGGAGGAGGATCTCATTTCTGTCCTGCGCAGCATACAACTAGTGTGTGGGAAAATGCATAGGACTATTCAGTACTTAACATCTATTAGAAAATAAATAAATGCATTATGATTTTTAACATGACATAGACAAGGACACAGGATTAAATATTCCAGAGAAGATGTAGGATCAGAACACCCTCACGGAAGCTGAACCGTTCCCAGCATGCACTAGATTAAATAAACTTGGCAGTGTTTAAGGGAGTATCCATTTCCAAGAAGAAATACATTCAACATGGGTTATTCTGCTTTTTTAGATCAGATATGTTACTGGTGCACTATTCAGGTGCACACTATGTAACATTAGGTTTAAATTTAATTGTCATAGCCTGATGAAGTCCCCAAGTGTCATTTCACCATCTGCAGGATCCGACTGCTGCTGTTATTAAATTTGTTACAAAAGTAGGTTTGTTTTGCTGCTGTTTCTGGATTACAAAGGCACTCGATTACAGCAGCAAGTTCCACCCTTCCTGATATCCACATAACAAGATAAGGAAAGCCCTGGGTGTTGTTAAACCAGCACTGCTACTGTTTCAGTTAAATGTGTTGAATAATGTAAACAAACCACTCTTTATATATATATATATACATATACACACACACACACACACACACACACACACACACCATTGATTTGAGTTCATATTCCTTTCCTTTTTTGCCACTTATGCCCTATGTCATTCATCTTTTTATTTTCATGTGTGCCACTATCTCATAAGCATGCCTGTTTTTAGTTTTTGAATTCCTCAGAGCCCTTCACATTAATTGAACATCACATGTATGTATGTCTGTATGAAAATCATGAGAGTTTTCATAACAACACACTGGAAGGCAAACCCAGCCCAGCTCTGTGCAAACGAGGACTCCTAACCACCACATAGCTTCAGCTATCACCTGCTGTCATGTTTCACTGTGCATTAATCATAGTGACACACAGATCCATGTTCTCTGCCTTCTCTGTTCCACTTCCACTGACTCCCTCCAACTCCACAGTACCTTTGAGAATGTTTTGGTCCAGACCACAGGGTTTCCATCTGGACACGAATGCACAGTTCACTGCACTGCAACTTAAAATTACATTGTTCAAGTTCTGGAAATCAAGTTAAAGCTAGTACAAGTTTTGAAAGCAAAATTCAATCCTGCGTGAGCTATTTTCAGCTCCCACTCACTCCACAGCTCCAATACACTCCAGCCAAGCTGCTCAGTGATCACTCAGCCGTTTGACAAAACCTCTCCATATTAAGAGGTGTTTTGGGGACATATTTCAAGTTATTAGAGGCTATATATTGTAGCTTAAAAAAAAACACACACACAAGTAAATAGACAAAACATGGCCAAATGAAGAATTTATTATTATTATTACACAGACTATTTAATTTTATTTTTTCAACATAGGTGTTGAAAAAAACATGGCATATACATAATACACCAGTAAACAGTTACACATGATAAATTTGTCATTGCCCATCTGTGTGTGTTCTTTTTTTTTATAAGATAGTATGAATGTGCTGAAATTCATACTACCACACAGGGAAGGTTTTCCCTGATTCAGCTTTTTTGTTTTTCTTTTAATTTTTTTATTACTATAACTCTGAGCTGGACTTGAACTTTATTGTATATGCATGCTGACTATGCTTGCCACTCCATGCAAGGCAAGCAAGAATATTTTCCCACTCTGTCATCTTAGACTTTGTTTAATTTTCAAAACACCAACAAATAGGTAGCCTGTTTTTCATTTCCTTGGCTCTGTGCCTTAGGCTGCAGAGCTCAGGGCTCAGTCTAGCTGATTCAGTGACAGCCGAGATTTTTATAGCCCTGGATTTTTTTTCACCAGTATATTGCAATCTATCAGTGTTTGCCACATACTGTAGGATATATATTTGCTTCACTATTTTGGCTTATTGCTCTCCTAAAATAGGATACAGTCAGTGTCAGAGAGTTCAGCCCCTTATCACGTGTAGGTCAGCAGGCTATCGGGTCAGATTTAATACTGCACTGCATCCTAATATAGACAGATGAGTCTAGGGCAATCTGACTAATGAAGTCGAGCTGCCAACATTGACAATGTAACAATTTCTGATACATTTTCTCATCTCTCTTGAGCTATCAGACTGCTGTGTTGCAAGATAGTCTCCATATGAGATCATGCTTGAAGTTTGAATAGCTGACTTACTGTACTTTATGTATGGTTCAGTGGACACATCCACACTGGATGCTGATTAAGACTGTGTATAAGTTTGTATGCATATGTGCTCATGTATTGACACAAATGTTTTTTGTGGGCCAAGAAAACTCTCTCTTCCTCTGAGAAATATCATTTAGATTTAGGGAATCTCAGCCCTTTTGGCTTCAAAGTAAGATTTAATGTCTATTAATGTCTGGCAACAGCACATCATTGTTAGGAATGAATACATTATTATTATTATTATTATTATTATTATTATTATTATTATTAGAGAGATGCTATTTGGTCGAAGCAGCATACTGTTAAAATTACAAATCATGGATATATATGTCATAATAATAATTAAATAAATACATTTCTGTAAAATATGTTCATAGTCTGTCAGGTTACTGTTTATGGTGATGGTTATAATGTGTCTGTTTAGTGGTACTTAATATGAAAATAGACGTTTTCTTCCTCCATTCCACACTGATTACATGTGATATCAGCTTTTAGTCTCACCTCATTTCATTTTTTTTCTCCTTCCTTTTTGCTCATTCTCTTTTTTCTCTCTTTTTCCAAAATCATTCATTATAGGTCAATGAGTGGAACAAGAACGACGAGCGTCTTCTTGCCGCGGTGGAGCATGGTGAGATGGAGAAAGTGGCGTCGCTCCTCACCAAAAAAGGCACCAGTGCTGTTAAGCTGGACAGCGAAGGCAAATCAGCGTAAGCGTTCTTACTCTTATTTACAAAAAAGAAAAAAACATGGCTTTGGTATCGATTTAGCAATTAGGAAATGTAGCTTTTTAGCATGTTTGTGCACAAATCCCAGTGGACACCAATGTCTCCATGGGAAACATAATATGCCAGCTGCAAAAATGTTTTGTTGCAAGTTTAAAAAAAAGAAAAAGAGAGTTGGATTGATATATGCTACACTGACAAGGACGCAAACCAAAAATCAGAATAGAAACGACTCTGTGCAGTGAAGCTGTCTAGTTTGCTATTTGGTTTAGTGATATCTGACAAATAAATGTAAATGCAGCTTTTTAGGAGTTATATGAAACTTATCTTAGACCTAAACTTATCACATTTATAAAAGATGGTGTGATTGTGATAAAAGTTTAAATTTCACGGAAATATTATTTAGTTTAAGTGATTCCTGTTTCCCCCTTTTTTTTTTTTAAGTCCGTATACTTCTACAGGATATAGATCTTGGGCTATAAAGCTACTTTCACTCTCCCAAGCACAATATTAAAAATGAATGGCTAAACTAAAAATAAAATTGTTTTTCTTAATTCCTGAAAGGTTGACATTTTGCAACCATTCACTCAGCCTCCCTTTGAGGCTGAGGCAGAGGAGCTTGTTGCCTCACAGGCTGAGACTGTTGATAACACAGAGGCTCACTGTTAATATTTGACCCCTTTTCTTTTTCGGAAACACAACACCCGCTGACCTTAATGTGCTGAGCAGCTCACACAGAGCTCACACAAATGTGCAGATTTTTACATGCTGACACAAACACACAGGTTTTTAAATTCCATAGTCAGTCACATCCTTGGCTTTTTTCTAAGTGCAACAAAAACACAGAAACAAATGCACAGATGCGTACTCTCAGCCGTTGTAAATCATGCAGTGGTTTGAGATTGTAATGCTCTAATCTTTTCAGAATGCACAGGAGGAGTCTACAGTATCTCTATGGTGATAAAACCTGATTGAAAGGCATGTGGACATAGTTGTGTGTGTGTGTGTGTGTGTGTGTGTGTGTGTGTGTGTGTGTGTGTGGGAGGTTGGGTATGTGGAGGTTTTTTTTTTTTCTGCTTACTGAGCTGGAAAGGGGTTGTATTGATTGCCTACTGCACACATACACACAAACAGACACGTACAGTTTGGAGGGCACTTTTTGCATACAGGGCGATATCGACTTGTGCCATTTTTACATGCATGGCAGTTCTTTACCTCCTGTGCTCCGGGTAACATTCATTGGTGGAGCATTTTGAATTCTGAAACCCGTGAAACTCAAGCAGCCTGATCAGTCGTAACAGATTCCAGTAGAAATAAAACGGGATTTGTGTGATTTTTTTAAAGAGCTGGCTGTGGATATTGCGTTTCACTAAACGTAGCATAAAAAAATGCCAGGGTTCTAAGGGGAACGTGCATCTCACAGATTCAGTTTAGATTGACTTATTTGATATAGTGAAATTATATCTTCAGTATGAGATGCGTAGAAAATGCTTCCAAAAACGCTTCCAGTGTGTTTTACCAGTTAGAGAAATGGTTTGCCATTTTGGGAAATATGCTTATTTATATGCTTTTTAAAATCCATACAAAAACTGAAGCATAAAAATCAGCAGTGATTCCAGTTAGTCACAACAAGGACTATTTTAACACATAATCCCTTGTAAAATCATAAGTTTAATGATATAAGGACCGTGACTTCAGATTTAACAAACAGATGTGTCTTCCCATCTAACTCTTGAAAGGATCCCAAAATGTCAGACTATTCCTTTTATTGTAATGTATTTCAGTTATAGAGTCTGTCCATTTAAAGAAATCTTTGTTTCTCAGAAAACTAGCAAAAGAACAATCAGTTGTAAAATCACTGTCATACAAACATCTCTGTTGTGACATGTATAAGTACTGGGAATCTGATTTGTTCTCATTTTGTTCTTTGCTTTGTATTTGTGTACAGTCTTCATGTAGCAGCCTCTCGTGGTCAGACAGACTGCCTTTCTGTCATCCTGGCACATGGAGCTGACCTGTCAATCACTGATGCTGCAGGTATATATTGTAGCTAAATATGATGATGCTAGGTGGACTGTGACTTGTTTGAATCTTCTGTATTTCTGCATAAATAATACTAAAAAGTATATAAATACAACAAAAAAAGTTTTTAGTTGTACTAAGGTTATTGGTTTTGTAACTTTTGTGATTTATATAGTTTCTAGTGCCACTTTACTTTCTGTTATGATTGCTTTTGGAAATTTTCATTTTATCCAGTTTGTTACTAAATTCTTTGACCTAATTAAGCTCTTAAAAATGCTTTTCATGATTTGTTTCCAGGTTTTAATCCTTTACACCTTGCTGCTAAAAACAATCACACTGAGTGCTGTAAAAAGCTAATTCAGGTAAGGTGGATGAATGAAGGATGCAACAGTAACAGATTGTGATTTTTGTCTCTAAAATAACTTAAGATCTGGGCTACTAGTCATACTTAATGTACTGTGATGACAGTAACGTAAGCTGCGACAATCTGCCAAGCCGTTGTTGTGGCCACCACACCGTGCATTTGTAATATGTTGCCAGTAACACACAGTGTGGTCCCAGAGTGCTGCAACAGTGATAACATACCAAACAGTATTTGATTTAATATAATGGTTCTACATTCGCTCAAGCTCCCCTTTGACCCTGTTCATGATAAGCGATATAGATAATGGACGGATGGATGAATAATAGTTCGACAGTATTCCAGGGTTATGTTCTTTGGCTGAACCGATTCTAAATGAGTAATCCTGGATTTTTCTAATGCCAGCTAAGGTTATCTGGATATTTCAGTTCTTCATCCCCCCCCACTTGAATTGTGGATTAGAAAAGCTTGATTTGATCATCCAAGGTAAGTGTGCAACAGCTGAAATCATGACCAGCGAATCCTTTCTGATGTGACTTGTAGCCAATATACTGTAAAATTTGCTAAATTGATAACTTGGCCACAGTGATTGAGAAAATTGTAATAAGTTTTAGAGCCTTTTTTAAGGCATAGGAAGAAGGCAGACTATGAAAACTCACAGGAATAGTTTCAGAACCAGGTACACTTTTCAAATAACTCAAAAAGCGGTGCCATTAAATTGTCCACATTAACAACCCTATATAAAAAAACAGCCTCTTCTCTGTTTTCTTTAAACTCATGTTTTATTATAATCACTCCAATGTCAGTGAGTTGCTTCCTTTAAATCTGTGAAGTTATTTTGTTTACATTGAATAATCCTGAGAACAAACCTACTCCTGAGCAGGTTTGAGATTACGGATGTGTTGCTGTGACAAGTCCCGTGAGACTTTCGAAGAACTGACAGATCTGGGATAATGTGAAGCTGCCATCAAAATGATCCGGCTAACCTGTTAATCCATGTACAAAGAAGGCCCCCAGGTTTAGTGAAATACTTTAAAAAATGTGTTATACAACAAAAAGTGTGACAAATCCGAAACAATGTTTCAATGGGCAATCATCCGGCCCCCAGCAAGACTTCTTCTTGGGCATATTAGTAGTTACAGCAAATTGTGAAAGCAGGAGCACAAACCATGTGAACCCTACAATCTGAACAGTTTGTTACTGGGTAGGATGTTTCTGTTCTGTTAAGATGTCTGCAACCAGATGGTTTCACTGCCTCATTTCTTGTGTTTGTTGATTGTGAGTGTGCGGGCAAACATCAACAGATCTTGGCAGGCACACGTACAAACACACTGCTCTGACTGCTGGCCTAACTGTCCCATGACAGTCTGCATCATGCACCTGCCTGGTCAAACACCCAGATAATTTTGTTATTATACACAGAAATATTTGTAAAGCTCTAGATAGATTTTGTTTGTCACAAACAATATTGTAAGGTTCTCACAGTCCTTTGTAATGTTTGTAATACTCTTTACTAGACATACAGTTGTGCCCACTAAAGTCAGTTTATTGCCATTTTGTTTGTGAGAAACTACCAACTCACTTTTTACCAGTATCAACAAATACAAACATCATTTGTAAAAAATGTCAGATTACCACTACCAGCAAACAAGGGGGGGCAAAAAATATGAACTGTATATGCACCAGTAAACAAACACCATCATTCATAATTCATGTGTGCCATTAATTGGCACATCTAATACTTTTCTGTTTTCCCTCCAGAGTAAGTGCCCTATCGATGCTGTAGACAGCACAGGAAAGACTGCCCTCCATCACACTGGTGAGTGTTTCAGTATCAGGAGAGTTACTTAAACAAAAGTGCTTTTATATAATATTAGTCTTCTTGGAGAAGAATGGAGGAAAATATCTTGTGATATTAAAGTTAAGCTAAGATTTCAACAAAGTCTACATACAGTACATTGAATACGACAGACCTCTTCTCAGTTTGTGTTACAGTGACTATTTCAATTAATTTGTTCTTTTGGAAATCAGAGAAGACCACAAAGGAGAGAATGTTCTTGTCAAATTTAATCCTAGACTAAATTGGACCAAGCTGAAAACTTCAAACACTTCTATGCTTCTTTTCATTATCTGGCTGTTGTTTTGTTTCATCCTCAGCTGCCAGCGGCAACATCGAGACCGTCCAACTGCTATGCGAACTCAGAAGTTCAATCGCCCTGAAAGATGCAGTATGTACTTTTGTTATTACTTCCACTGTCTGTTATCCAGACCTTTTTTCCTGGCAGGATAGTAATGAGCTCCAAAACAGAATAAGACCACAGAAATGCTCCATTCAGTCCTATTCATATTGCTTTCCACTGAGGTATTTCCAGACTAGTTTGTTCAGGGAATGTAAATAACTGTTTGTATGCTTTGGATTTTCATTAGGATACATGTCTGTATTAATATGATGTTGAATATCTCATTTCCTAAATTACAATTTTTACATTTATTAAAGTTGAAAGAAAGTAACCTGTTAATTGCTGTTACTGGCCTCAACTGTTGATCTTTAATATGGAGGGTCCTCATTAATTGATATTTCCTGATATCTGTTTTAAGACTGAATAATATTTTGTATGTGTGAGGTAGGGGGTCATTGTACTGTGGGAACTCTGCAGTGCAGACATGTAGTCTCCATTGCAGTGATGCTCCATCTCTCTGGTTTTTGCCCAACTGGGGTGTGTTAGCCTGGTGTGTGTGTGTGTGTGTGTGTGTGTAAAAGAAAAAAGAGAGCAATTGAGAGTAAAGAAATAGAGAAGAGAATGTGTTGCACATTTATTTCCCTTTTTATTATCATGCCACAGCTGGTGTGTTGGAGATAAACACATACTCAGAGGGGTCTCTCAGCCTACATGTAAAGATGTTATGTAAAATCTATTGAAGCCTTGTTTAAGTAAGTGCCAACTTTGTTTTTTGAAAGTAGTTCATGCTACCACACTAGCACTGGCTGTACAATTGGAGCAGGTCCCATCAGCCGTGATGCAGCTTTAAAAAAATATTTCTAATTAATACAGAAGTTGTTAAGCAAACTGATGCCGTTCTGTGCTTGTAGGAAACTAAGTGCTGTGTGATATACATAATGTTGCTTCCATTCAGCAGCACTTATTCTTCCAGCCATAATCATCTACAAGTGTGTGTGTGTGTGTGTGTGTGTGTGTGTGTGTGTGCGCACGCCTGCGTGTGAGAGAGAGATTTGAGCTATTCTGTCTGAGGTTAGTGGACAAATAGTGGGAACCACAAAACCATCTGGAAGATATTGGTGTTTCTGTACTGAGCAGAACATGCCAGCTTGTTAGCTTCAGGCCGGCAACATGGCGGTATCATAGATTTATTTCTAATTTATCTTTGACCTTGATAAACACGCAGCAAGATACTAAAAGAAACAGAAAAACATCTGCCAGGTCTTACACATGGTATGCTGGTCAGAAAATGTTTACAGAAAATCAAGGAAATGTAAACTTAGTCTGCTCAGAGACACTTGTAATCTGTATTATAAAATCTTATATGTGGTGACATTTCTTAATTATTTATAATAAACCCAGCCTTGATATAATTCATAGATGTGGCCTGGTAGTTCTTGAGCATGTGTTTGGTTTGAGTAGGTCAGAACTCTTGAAAGACCACAAATGGGCAGTGGTGGAATTTAACTTATTACAGTTACTCAGGTACTGTACTTCAGTACACTTTTGAGGTACTTTTCCTTGAATATTTCAGGCAGTATGGTAAAAGTTAAACCAGTGTGGTTGGGTCTACACCAAACCATTAGTTTCATCAGTATTGTATTACAACAAGTTCATCGGTTCAGGGATGGAGTCTCTGGCACCGTATTCCAACCTGGGAGTGAAGACCTTTTAAAGGCTTTCCAAGATAAGTCTGAGGGGGTTGCAAGACAAATGCTGATTATCTCTGCTATAGTTTGACCATGAGCAAAGGTTTAAGGCTAGGATTTGGCATAAAGTCTTTGTCAGGATTGATGAAGGCTTTATACTGAGATGTGTTGGTCTTTTATCTTTGCATTAAAGTTGCTTGGGACACTTGCAAGTATTTCCAGACTTTTTGCTTTCCTGTGGAAATGTCTGTACAGTTTAAAGCGTCAATCCCTCAGTTCTTGTTTTTTTTGTATTATGTTGATTTACAGTTTTAAAAGCTGTGAATTCATAGCTCACTCTTAAGTCACAACTTATTTCCTAACTTAATCTTGGCTAAGTCAGCTCCTCCCAGGCTATACACCCTCAACAGTTCTGGCCAGTCAGTTGTTTAGGCTGAACAGAAGAATAGAAGAATAAGGTTAGGTTATGTTCAGGGCCATGCCTGGGGTTAGGATCTGTCAGTCCTGGTGAAATACTGCCTCTGTCAGCCAACTCTGCTACAGTGAGGAACAGAAGTATTTGAACATCCTGCGATTTTGCAAGTTCTCCCACTTAGAAATCATGGAGGGGTCTGAAATTCACATTGTAGGTGCATTCCCACTCTGAGACAGAATTAAGAAAAAAATTCAGGAAATCACATTGTATGATTATTAAAGAATTTATTTGTCTTGCACTGCTGAACATAAGTATTTGAACACCTGAGAAACAGCAAGAATTCTGGCTCTCAAAGACCTGTTACTGTGCCTTGAAAAAGTCCACCTCTACTCCACTCATGGGCAGCACGGTGGCACAGTGGTTGGCGCCGTTGCCTCACAGCGGGAAGGTTCCGGGTTCGGGCCCCACCTGGGACCTTTCTGTGTGGAGTTTGCATGTTCTCCCCGTGCTTGCGTGGGTTCTCTCCGGGTGCTCCGGCTTCCTCCCACTGACCAAAGACGTGCAGCTTAGGTTGATTGGTGTCTCTAAATTGCCCATAGGAGTGCGTGCGTGCGTGT